GCTTGGATTTGGCAGAGAGCAGATTTTGGGGGCTTCTTTGCTCCCACTAAACAATTATTTTAAGGAATTTTTGCTGAGGGTGCATTCCTCCCTGGCAGGCGGGGGCTATTTTGCCCTTGGTTTTTAAGAGCCGTTCGTCTTTTTATGGTTCTGGAAAGCGCGGGGACTTGTGAACCAAGTCCTCGGCTCGTTTCCCACGGGGATCCCTCCAGCCTTGATGAGAGCCAAGCTATGGCTGAGGGAGGATGGGGAGGGTGGCCAGAGCCTCATCCCTCTCCCCTGGCCGGGGGCAAGAGACGGCAGGGAGAGCTCCGTGACTAATGTTATATGCCGGGGATAACCTAGTACAAAAGGTGGAGGGTTGGGCTGAGCGAGAAACCAGGCCCTGAGGTGACTCACGGGCAGCTGGGGTTGCTGCCGGGCTGACAGAGAAGGAATGGGGTAAAGCAGAAACCAGGCAGTGCAACAGCTTCCAGCGCCACGCTCCGTGCTGGCCATGCCGTGCCGTGCTGGAAGCCGCCCTTCTTCCCACCACCCGCCTGAGTCCTGCTTGTCATAAAAGCCCGGTGCTGATAAAAGCATTTTGTTTGTTTGTTTGTTTGTTTTTTCCTAGGTTATCGGGAGCCACGACCCATCGTTGCCTGGAGAAGCCACGCTGGCTGTCCTTTGCCTCCTCTATCAGACAACGGGCTGCCACCTCTGAATCGCTGGGAGATCTGGTGGGTGCCCGCCGGAGGTTGCAGCCCTGGAGCTTCTCGTTCCTGTTTTCTCTGGTTTTTTTCACCATATATGGTTGCTTCCAGCAAATTCGGGGTGGGGAGGGGAGGAAGAGAGGGACGCAAAGGGATTCACGACGGCCTGAGCGAAGGGACAGAGTGTCCCTGTTGTGCAGTCGGGAGCGGGAGCCGGGGTGGAAAAGGCATTTCCTTTGGCGAGGTTGTTTATTTGCAGGGAACATAACAGATCAATCCCACCCCGACTGCATTGGACGCGTCGTCCACGCAGCTGGAAAACGAGGGACTATGGGAATTCGGTGGCCCCTGGAGAGCCACCGCCATCCCACGCTCGCGTTGGGCTGTGGCCGCGGCGGTGGTCCAACAGCAAACGGGCCGCCTGAGATTTCTAGGTTTGAAAGCAGGCAGCGAGGCGAGAGGATGCCCCCCCGTTTCGGTTTCTAAATGAAACCAGCAGTTCTGGTGAGGGCGTTAGGGCTTGCGGTGCCTGGCTTGAGGCAGGGGTGCAGAGCACCCCGCGGTCGCTGGCACGCAGAGGGGTTCCCCCGGCATCTACCAGAAACGGGTTGGGAAGCTCTCGGAGCAGATCCCCGTTAGGGGGTTCCAAAATCGGCATTTTTTTTTTTTTTGCTGCTTTCATCCACGGCGATGGCTGGTGTCACCGCTGCCTGTGCTTTGTAGCATTGCGCAGGCTGCGTGCTGTTTTCTGGCATGGATCGGGCTCCCTTTTTCCCCTTCCCCCCCCCC